TCGTTCAGCACCAGCTTCATGTCTGACTTCGACATCATGCTTGCTCGGAGGAAAGCCATGAACAGCAAGAAGCGAAGACACCGTGACGGAGGGACGTTCATCAGTGACGCCGACGACGTGGTCAGCGCCATGATCTCCAAGATGAACGAGGCTGCGGAGGTGCGCCTGTCGAAATGAAAGTCTCAGTGCGACTCAGAGTGTTGCTGCTGCGTCTGTGTCCTGACCGACGCTGTGTTGTTTCAACAGGAGGATCGAACTCTGAACAGTCAGAAGAAACCGGCGCTGAAGAAACTCACGCTGCTGCCGCAGGTCGTCATGCACCTGAAGAAGTAAGAGTCACATCTGTTCCACGTTAACACCTCATCACACATGATTTTATGATGGAGGCCATGACACGGGACGGACGTGAAACTGGAAGAACACAAATGTCTCAGGATGAAGAAGAGGAGCCGCACACGTAGAGGACGAAGACTGCTGCTGCTTCATATGTGAAAGAAAAACTCCGAGTCCAGCTGCTCCTGTATCTGTGTGTTAAGTTGTTGTGTTGGTGTTTGTCCCTCAGACAGGACTTGAAGGAGACGTTCATCGACAGCGGGGTGATGTCGGCGATTAAAGAGTGGATCAGTCCTCTTCCGGACAAGTCGCTGCCCGCTCTCAGGATCAGAGAGGAGCTGCTGAGGATCCTGCAGGAGGTGAGGTCGCTGCTCGTTGGCTTGCAGCTCTCAGGTGAAGTCTCAGTTCAGTGTTCTCATGGTGTCTCCTCCTGCAGCTGCCCAGCGTCAGTCATGAGACTCTGAAGCACAGCGGCATCGGCCGGTCCGTCATGTTTCTGTACAAACACCCCAAAGAGTCTCGATCCAACAAAGACCTGGCTCTCAAACTCATCAGTAAGAAACTGTCTCTTTGTGCTACGTGTTGTTTTTAAAAGAGTGAAGTCGCGTGTTCTTCTTAACGATCCGTGTGCGTCTCGTTTCCAGATGAGTGGTCGAGGCCGATCTTTGGTTTGACGTCTAACTACAAGGGAATGACGAGAGAGGAGCGGCAACAGAGAGATCTGGCTCAGCAGATGCCTCAGAGACGACGACTCAGGTACAGACAAGTTTCATCCGGACGCGTTAACAACTGACACAACCACTCAGGTGAGAGCAGCGTGGACTCACACCCGCTCAACAACGTCCCGCACGCTCGTCAGGTTCGGTTTGGAGACTTTGTGGGGCGGGGACAGTGGCTGATGCTCCCTTGCTCTGATTGGTCACCTTGAAGACTCCGCTCTGATCTTCTCACCTCATTCACCTTCATTCTTCTGTAGCAGCTGTAAACTCCATGAATCATTCATACGACTGCTTCTACTCGACCTTCAGTCACTGGATGAACAGACGCAAACAACAAACACTGAAAAGTAGAAACAAACTGAGTCGTTTTCAGAATAACGAGGTTCTCTCACACTATAGATCCAAAAATAAATGTTTTTACTTAGAGCGAGTATATTTTACTTTTGTATTTCCATCACAAGTTTGGAGTCAAATTTCACTTCGAGTGGAATTAAAATCTGACTCTGGATTTAAAGAGGATTCAGGTTTTGGAATGACCTGCAGCTGTTTCATGACATTTCTGCACCAAACAAACAAATCCAGTTTAAGTGTGTTCTGATGGGACGATGCCTCCTCTTCCTCCTCTTTCTCCTC